CGATGTTGAGTTTAATAGTAATATTAACTAGGTCCCTTGATTATATAATTACCCTTTTGTTAAAAATGTTTATTTTGTTTCTTAATTATCATTTATAGCATCACCCACTAGTTTATATGATCTGATTTTCAACATATAAATACCATCGGTATTTAGTTATGTGAAGATCACAGAATTTTTATATCATGAAATGCTCCTAACCAGATCAGTGTTGTAAATTAAGAAACATTGGACAGCTGTTCCATCCTAGTATTGAACCGTTTAGCAATGTGCACTCACGACCTTGTCACAGAGAATCTAACCCAGTACTTTTACAAAATCCTGTTCTGATAGTAACCATTTGGTCACTAATGACTAAATTTAGGAAGGAATCTCGAGACTTTAAGTAAAACGCCGTGACCAGTAGAATTCGATTATGTCGGGTGTGAATCAGTCTTCGACCGTCGGCAATGGAAGATGGTTCGATAATATCTCGAACTGAATGAATTTAGACGTACTCACTACTGTGTGGTGGCTCAGTGGTCTGGAGGTATGGATTTCGCCGTGAAACCGGAGGGTCTTAGGCTCGGTTTGCTGTGTCAGCGTCGTGGACAGTCCCAAACTAGAATGAAACAAGTATCCAGTTCCTACTGATTCTTAGTGGTGGTCTACTTAGGGTTGATTCAGGGAGCAACAACAGAAATTAGAGTATAATAACATGAATTCATCATATTTCGTCAGATCCTTTTTAGCTGCTTACAACTTGTGGTATCTAAAAATCAAGACTGCTGAGTTGAAAATATTAAAGTAGATGAATTTGGTTGTAAATCGCTGTGATCGCAAATGTGTAAATAAATTTTGGGGACCAAATAAAAACCTGAAATATCTTTGTGTAAAAGTGTAAAATAGCATTCTAAAACACCGATATCAATATAAGCTATGACCAAAGGTCTAGAAATGATTGGTTAAGTAGTCAAAAAATGGTATTGATAAGTAGGAATAAAATGCTTCGATGTCATTTAGTTGACGCTAAAACTATTAAACTGGAAGAAAGCCAAAAAAGTGATGTAAAAACCAGTCGATTGAGTGGAAGACGTTAAATAAATTTAATGACGTAACGAAATGAGGTTTAAGTTGTCGAGGCAGAGAAAGATAAATAACTATTTCTTGAATACGTAAATGAGATTCCTGATTCCTGTCAGGAATAGCATCAACAAACTCCAGAAGACTGGGGTTTGGTTGTTTATTAATTAAGGTATCGATTTAATATTTTCTGTCCAAGAGATGCCCAGAGATTGTACTATTCAAAGTACTTCTCCTTTTAGACAGAAGACGTTTTAAACATGTCCAAAGAAACTAATATAATCTTTCCTTTCTGCTCGACTAATGTAGCTGCTTTGGTGTATATATGTAAATTTATAGACACAATTGGGGGTAATATGAAGAGGGTGTTTGTTAAAATTGACTAAATTATTTAATATCCTACATCGAAATTCAGGTTTAGTAGTTTGGCTGGTGAGTAGGTTCTGACTGGCGCAGTGTTAAGCCCTCAATTGATTACTCCTGAAGCATTGTCACTTTTGAAGCTGAGATGCAGAAAGATGGGTACTTTATTGAGTGTAACAGTATCTGACTTGTTATATGTAGTTTTCCTAAAATTCTTAATATACTTCTGTGTCTGGAAGTTGTTTCTTAAGCACTTTTCAGTACTCATCAATTTTTTCCCGAATTCATCATTGATGTTTATTTTATCTACGCTATAAGATACTGTTTTGATCAATGCTTTCTTAAAACTGTTTGTGACAAAAAGTCTGTTCTTTAAGGTCCTACTATAGTAATCATGTATGTTTGGTAGGTAAGAATACAGTTACAAAGATACGAGAGCGAAGTCATACAATTAACCGTAGGTTGTTTTTTATGGATTAGCAGGATTTCCGATATCGATATTTTCTCATGGACAGTAGGTTTGTGAAGTATCAAACTAATACAACAAAAATCACCAACCAAAACTTTTACCTGTGACCAGCCCTAGGCTATTGTGTTTTGCTCTGTAGTCACACTCCGAAACTGAAAATGTCTCGATATAAAATTCACTTCCTTTTTCAAATTATTTAGCATTATATATCCTTCCACAGTGAAATAAATCGGAAAGCTCCAAAAGTCCACAGAACTTTAACAGTACTCTAGCTAATCTTCTCTTCAGCAAATTATCCTCCTTGATTCCTAGTATTACTCCTGTCCCTGTTATCAACCTTCTTCTAGTTTCGTCTTCTATCTTACATGCAAGAGGTGCTAACGGCCCTTTCTTATAATATGCCTACCGTTGTACAGTGCGGTAACTATTTGCTAAAGCCTGAAATGTTCAAGCCCTATATCCGAGTGGACAATTTATTTAACTTGTCTTAGAATTTTATGTCATCTATGTTTTCCATGTCCTCTAAATCCCGATACAGGCCGTGGTAATGGCAATACGCTTTAAATTGCTTGACCATTAAATTTAATTTTTTTTGGGGTATTGGGTTTCAGAATGAATACTTGGTCAATTTTATATTCAATAATTTTCATTTCATTTCAAACTTTTACCCAGCATTATTATTAATCAGGCATCTAGAAATGAGAGATCATATTTTTCTTCTCCTTTTAAGGTGAATGTGGTAAATGGATAAATACTGACGAATTTACCAACCTTATTGTATAAAAATCATGAATGTATCATCTTTGTAGTTATTGTAGAATCCTATCTTGTTGACAAGTACGTTAATGAGACTGTCCTCGAGTTTTACTTGGAGTAAGAATAACGGCTTCATTTTGTTGCCAGGATGATAAAATTATTTTAATCTCAGAAGGGAATTATGATAGAGTATATTGATTTGTCAGAAATTGTTGACAGATCATGGGTAAAAATGGAAGCTTATATTTTGCAACATTTGGTCAATAGTAATCTTGGTGCATAAGACTAATTCTTCAACATAGTTTATAAGAACATAGATGTCAGTCTAACTTGGAAAAGTACTTAATAAAGAATTACATAAATTTAAAAAATTACTCCTCTTACAATTAGACAGGTTATACTTAATAAATAACCCGACATGTTTTAATAGAATGTTAGTTGGAACATTCGTTCAGAATGTCTGCCAGTCAATCAAACAATCGACGACTGTTTATCCGTGATAAACCGTTACTTATGAATTTCAGAGTATATACTTTTATAAGGTTTATAATATACTTAGCTAGCTAATTTGGGATCATTGTTAGTACGAGTTCATACATTGAAATCAACTCTGTCAGAAGATAAGCATATGAAAATTTCATCTACAAGACCACGTCCTATGTTGAAGTTTACGGATAAACATCACAAGTTGGTTTTTCAGAAATGCACATTCTGTTGAAACTAAGCTAACACCATGTTTCCATTCATAAATTAGGATATAATTAGTATTCGAAATTCTATAACTAACGACCGTCAATAATTAGATATAATAATGTAATAATGTTTAGAAAAATATTTCTTCCAAGTAACTAAAATGTGTATTTAAACTGTTAAATATTATTATCTGTATAGGGGATGGTGGGGATTGTTAAGCTTTGATAGAGATTATTAATGGATCAATGGCAGACCAATATTGAAAACCTGGAAGAACTGGACAGCCGTTTCTTCCTAGTATGGGACTCGTGAGCAGTACATACCCACGACTCTGAATCCGGGATTTGAACCTATGACATCCAGTCTTGCACGTGGATGTAGCCACTCACTGCAAACAATGGAGGACGATCGTGCAATATCTTAGATTGGTTAAAGTTAGACATTAACATCGTTGTATGTCGGTTTGGTGGTCTAGAAGTTAGGCGTCCACAAGCGAGAATAAAGTTCGAGTCCCGGGTGCGTTATTGTGGATGTGCATCGCTCAAGAGTCCTATGCTAGGACAAAACGGCCACCCAGTTCTTTCAAGCTTTCAATGGTGGTTTAACATTGATCTACTCATGATCTCAGTGTTAAATATGATTTAAGTTGACAAATCCAATTTATATTAAAGACTTGATAACTGAAATCGAGATCGTATGAATTTTCAACAAATTTGTGACCAACAGCTTCGGAGTCACTCCAACACTTACCGCTAACGTTTTCTCAATAAATCAGTCTGTGGAACCTGAGATACCTTACCTACTTCTTATTTCTTTCTAATACAGTTCGATTTTGGTTAAACACGGAGATCTGGCCTACAGAAATGTTATAATGAAGAATAGAACAACTAGATATCTCGTCCGATTATTCAAATTCTCTATAATCTACATCTGTCAATCTTATTCACCGAACCGTTAGTCAAGATATGCAAATTAAATGTTCATCTCTCTCCAAACTTAGATTTATAAGTGACTATTAAAACTGGATGAAATCTGTAAAAGTCATTGTCCTTAAATTTACAAAATTTTATTTGTTAAAACAGTCAATAATATCGTATTTCTACTGAACATATTCAAGATATGTTTATTTATGAATAAAAAGATTTACAAAATTTCAAAATCATTAGAAGTTCTTCACAAAAAAATGTTCCTAGAAATTTAACACTAGTTTCCACTACAAGATAACATTATAAATGAAGTTATTATAAACCAGCATGTACTGAAAATCGTATTCAGAACCATTATTACTTCAGTGATCAAACGATGAATATTCATTTATATAAGAGGTAAATCTATAAAATCATATTTTTTATTCATATTGATTATAATATAGTTTATTGATAAAATCATCACATCGTTATGATTATACAGCACTGTGTTTTTACTCGCTCATTATTTATGTAGAGATTAAAATTTGTATTTATATTGAACTTTGTATCTTTATCACATTTCAATTGAACAGTATGAAGTGAGTTTCGTTTGAATAAACTTAGAGAAATAAATATGTGTATTGATACAAGGATTGGTGTAGGCATGTATCAATATTTGTATGTCTAATACAGGTACCATGATTGGTTCAAATAGTCTATTAAGATATTTTTAATCACTAAGTATTAACTACAATTTATGTAACAAGAAGTATGAAATTATTAAATCAAATTAGAAATATCACACTACTAATGTACCATAAATTTCATAATTTATTTAATTCAAATAATAAATCTTTAGCATATTTTATAATTATCATGTTTATTACAATTTCGTATTATTCAATTCTAATGAAACTAATAAATCCTGAAGTTACATATATAATTGCTCCAACTTCATCTCGGGTATTTATACAATTTGCAAACAATTCATTATCAGCAAACTATACTACTGAAATTGTGACACATCGTATAACTAGTTCAACCCCTATAATTACCACTAAAACTTTTCATCCTCAACGCCGTCACCATCACCATCATCGTCGTCGTCCACGTTATGGTCACAAAAAAATGAGATTGAGAAAAGTAAAGTCATTGAACGTCATCAAGTCAAAGTTTCAAGTACATTCAAGATTAAATTGGAAAACTAAAAAAAATAATGATGTTTTATCACAAAAATTTTTTCCTCCATTATATCTTGATCATTCATTTTGTTTAAATCAATCTAATTTTCATATTGATAATGAAAAATATATTAAATTTAAAAAATATCGACAAATTATAGATTTACCTAATGTATTAAGAGTATTTAATATAAGTCAATGGTTCAAAATAAAGCCAACTATATGTCAATCTAGTAAAATAAATTTATTAATTATTATATTCTCTCCAATAATAGATCATTCAATTCGTTATAAAATTCGTCAAACATGGGGTTCAATTAAATATATTTTAAGTGATACTATTATAAATAAACAATATTTTAATGGATTAAATATTATTGAACATTTATTTATTGTTAATATTACAAAATATAAATTTAAACAAAATTCAATTCATATTCAAAATCTTTTAAAAGAAGCACAATATGAAAAAGATATTTTAATTTTATGTTTAAATCATTTACAAAATAATTTAGCTTCATTATATCTTTTAACAAGTGAATTCTTATTAAATTCTTGTAAACATTCTATAGATTTTGTTTTATTTATTAATCAAGATTTATTTCCTAATTTAAATGCTTTAATACAATATACAAATTCAAAATTGTTACATTTAACATCGAATACATTAAAACAAAATCATAATCCATCTATATATTGTATACCAATGATACAAAAACATATTGAATATAATAAACGATTTAATAATTTATATAAAAATAATTTACCTATATGGCAAGGAAATATTTATCCTACATATTGTGATATTAAAACTGGTGGTTTTTTATTATTATTTAAAACAATGAAACAATGGTATGCATGTTCTCATTTATATATACCATTTAATCCTATACAAGTTTATTTAACTGGTTTTATAAGATATATAGCTAAAATTGATATCGAAAATTATTGGATAAATTATTGGTCAATTAGTAATTTGTTACCAAGTGTATCATTAAATAAGAAAAGTAAAAAATATTTATTTTTTCAAAAATCTATTAATCAAAATAATCGAGTATGGAAAAGTGTATTTCGTGCAACGTTGAGTTGATAACACCATATATATGTATGTACTTTTTTCTGAATCTTACTTTTGTTTCCATTGTGTGGAAATATATTAATTCAAATTAATGAGTCATTTGAAATAAAAATATAAATCAAATTTATTATTTATTTACTTACTGATGGATAGGACATACATTAAGCAAATCATCTAACTGCATCACGAGGCAAGCCCTAACTTGCAATCCTGAAGGATAGCGAAAAAAAGAGGAAGACCAAAGAACACATTACGTCGGGAAGTAGAATCAGATATGAAAAGGATGAATAACAAGTCGTAAGAGCTGGAAAGGATTGCCCAGGACAGGGTTTGATGGAGAATGCTGGTAAGCGCCCTATGCTCCTTCACGATGAATAACAGGCGTAAGTAATTACTTAGTTACTTACTTACTCAAACCTCTCACTCCCAGTGAGATATAGGCTAATAACCAGTGATCTTGAACTAAAATAATGCTGAGTTCTTAATTTAGTTGTTATCGGATGCTATCCATTTTTTTGTTGTCTGTCCCCAGCTCCTGGCATCATATCTTTTTCTGATTGCCTGTTTTCCTTTTCCCTGGAAGATTTCAAGTAAAGGCTTGCTTTGTGATCCATTTTGATGATTTTACGTAATTTGAGTACTATCTACCTTCAGAGTCTTTTTCTAATTTTTTTAACTACCAACTATTTTGTTCTCTGACAGTAGCTTACACCTGATGATTTCTGACTAACAGATATAGAATATTTTGCGTCAATGGCTATTTATAAATACTTGTGCTTTTGGTGATGAATTAGGTTGTTCTTCATGTTTTAACTCCATACAATGGACCTGTTTTTTATTTTTGAGTTGAAAATTCATGGCATTTGGTCATGAGTGACAGTTCTTAAGTCCCATATTTTTATTCAGTCGTAGGCATATCCGCTTTGTATTGCTGATCCGTGCTTTGACATTTGCATCAGATCATTCTGGTTTATCCCTAGTTCTGTCCATCTATTTAAAAGCTTTCACCTCTTCCAGGGCTTCTTCACCAAGTGTGATTTAAGTTTACCCACTTCGTTGTACATCAGCATCTAACATTTTTGTTTTTGGATGCTGCAGTCTATATCTCATGACGAAACCGCTGATATGATGACTGGTTTTGTTTGCATTTGTTGCTGTTTATGAGACAGAATAGTTGAGCTATTTCAAAAACCCAAATTTTTCTATTTCACCCACCATATTCCTTACTTCTTCTCAGATGTCGCGATCATCATCTATCCGACAGCTAGAAGAAAGAGAAAAGAAGTTAGGCAGCCTGTATGACATCAGTATTCACTTGGAATGTATCTGTGAGCTACTCTACGTGCACAACTTTGCAATTCAGTTCGTTGTAGGAGTACCGTATGATAGTGACAATCTTCCTATGTATTCCATACTGTGAAAAAATCTCTTAGAGTTCTCATATTCACACTATTGAATCAAAGATGTTGGTGTATGGCGGTGAATTCCTTTCACATGACTGATCAACAACGATCCACAGTGGCAAGATTTGATGGGTACATGGCCGATCCATACGAAAGCCGATTTGTTGGTCCCGATGTTATGAATCTACTGAATCTTTCATTTGGTTGAGCGGCGTTATGTTCAAGATTTTTCCGATACTGATAATATTGTAATTCCTCTGTAGCTCTCACATTCACTAAGATCTCTTTGATAGGGTATCCCACATTGGGGTCTTTTGTTACTTGTTTTTCGCACATTTTTAGGAAAAAAGGACATGGGACAGTTACCCCAATATCTGACTTCAGTTCTAGGTTGTGATTAAATTGTTTGGTTTAACACCCAACTTACCTAATGAGTCGGTGGGCACCTCCCTTAGACTGAGGAAGGGCGTGATAAGAACAGTACTCAGCCCCGTTCTGTCACAATTAGTGAATAACGGTCATCATCCTTCAGAGTGATTATCGTATACTTACTGTTTTTCCTTCCATCTCGTCTCTTACTTATGGCTGAAATCATAGGGATTCGGGTCAATAACCAAATCATTTATATTTATAAGATATTTTCAACACTGTCCCTTCCTTGCCTGAATTAGGCATAGCGAACGATTTTCCTTATTATTATAATTTGTTTTCATATCCTTTTTTCATTTATCTTTATCCGCCTCTTCTTCAAATATGTCCTTTTCTATCGAATGATTTCAATACTTATAGTAGTGGCTGGTTCTATGTCGAGCCCACATAGCTTATTCTAGCTTCGGGAAAGGCTAATATTTCCATTCTTCTAAAGTCATATTTTGACATTGTTAATTATTCACTTATCAACCTTGACTGTTTTCATATGAGCGTATGTGTGTGTACATCTTATCCCACTCATCATATGTCTCTAACCTATTTTTATCTGGCTCACACACCTCCACCGCGCATCATTTCGATTCGTTTCTTTCATTGCCTGCCCAGATCAATGACTGTACAGAATGTATATATTCGAAATCCATTCTCGTATTTGGCTTATTTAATTTCGTTATTCACTGAAGCGGATTAAGTCGATAATTGAATACGAGGATTGGCAACATATACGTTTCGACATGTATATCTCAATAACGATCAACCATACGACCGAACTGGAGTCAGATATAAGGACACTAAATTAGTATTTTCAGTTTGGGATTGTGGAGATTATTGCATTTCATTGAAATCACGAACCAATCAATGTTAGACAGTTAGATGCTGGCTCTTAGGTCTAGAGGTCAGGCATTCGCGAGCGAAAGCGAAGGTTTTGGGTTCGAATCACGCCTGCGGGGTCGTGGGTACGTACTTCTGGGGGTCCCATACTAGGGCAAAACGGCCGCCCAATGCTTCTGAGTTTCCAATAGTGGTCTAACATTGATCGGTTCATGATTTTATTGGGATATCTCACTGCTATTTTAATGAATGTTGACTCAATGTCTGTATTTTCTAAGCCTACAACTTAATTCCTATTATGAAACATTGGTTCAAGCCCTTATTATTCTTATCGCAAATAGTATATCTGTTGTCTCAATGTCAAGTCGTACCTTTTACTTATTATATCTGGTTATGTATTCTGTTAACTCATAAATTGTCTTGGTTAATTTATCTTCATAATATGCATATAAACATTACTGTATATTAGAGTGCCAACTGATGAAATTTGATTGAAAAAAATATTGTTGGCTTATACGTGTTGTTCTAATTTACAAGATAAGAATTTTGAATACATTTTAAGTATACTGTGTTAAGAGGATGTAAAGAGAAATTTTACTTATCAGTAGATGGGTATTATCGTTTGTTTTTAACTGTAGCTAATGGTATATCATAACGTTTGCATCATACGTAGCATATGTTGGTAGGACTTTGCAAAAAAAAAACTGAACTTCATCTTTATGAATTCATGATAACCTGATTTCAAAATACACAAATATAGTGTTTTCTTTTATTGAAGGCATGAAAGTGTACTCTTATGAAATTTTACGGATTACAGCAATGTTTAATGTTAGTTCCTCAGATAACACCTTTTTATGACAAAACCTATAGCAAAATTCTAAAACTAACAACTTTTACTCTATGTTCCTAATCCAATTCCAAACCCCAAAAATGTTGTATTGTGAGGTCGTACGAGTCTGCAACTGATGTATACACTCTTTATATGTGTACACAAACTAGCCACTTGAGTAAGAAAACTAAGAGTAGGGAGCTTTTATTGGCAGTTGGGATTGACAATACATACACAACTCAGTTGTAGTTCTCAGAAAGTTAAACCATATTTTCGACCAGTATCTATTTATTTAGACAGGAAAGCCGAATCTTGACTAATAGCATGAAACAGTTAGCACATCGTACGTCTCCTTACCCGAGTCTGATTGGCCCAGTATATCATTTTTTTCTTAAAAAATAAGCCTTGCTGTTTAGTCTCAGCTCTTAGAATTAAAATGGGAGAATATCCAGTAACATAGAAAAATATTTAAAACATAAAAGATATTTGTTATCCAACCATTACCTCCATTTTCTTGGAAAATCAAAGAAATCGGAATGAAATTATTTTTTTAGGCAACAGTTAACTGACTAATTTATGAAGAGATTTATTAAGGTTGAAGACAGTTTACATCATGGACCGATATGAGTAGAAGAACTGTTGGAGATATTGGATCTCCAGATACAACGTATTAAGAAGAAATCAATCTTAAAAATTCATGTATTGATATAGGATGATTTACGTTTAGTCATTTTTCAGGACCCTTTCAACTGTATTGATTCATTCAGTAGGAATTTCATTTACTTCAACTTTCAATGAATTATAATATATTTGTATTGGTGTTCGACGCTGCAGTCGATCAGTTTATTCTGGCTGGATTTGAGAACTGGAGTGAATACCAACTCTGGTAGGCAGGTACATCTAGCTGACGAGTCCCAAATGGGAAGAAGCGCTGGTCCTGGACTCCACTATTACCCATCATCCATCTCAGTTTATAATTTCAGTGAATTGTCAATGTATTAATAAACTTACTGTAACATTCATTCAGTATGACAATTTCTTTATTAATAATCACTGAATGCAATTGGTATATAATTGAATGATTTCAAATGTAAATTTTTTCCAGTTCTTATTGAGTCTCTATCAATAAAATTTTGGAAAAGCTTGGATTACGGTCTATAATTGGTAAGTACAGAAAACGACAGAAAGTAGCCTCCTTCATAACCATTTCAGTCCGAGTTGCGAATCATTAGCTGGGTGCACAATCATATCAAGACGAAGAGAAATTTAAAGGGTATTCAATATCTACTACTATCTTCTCACAGTTTAAGACTTCCAGTAGTATGTACCGACAAACTTACCGAGGCTAGAAACTCTTTACGTTTAGATCATATGATAAGTCAGTATGCACTAGTCAATATTTTTATAATTTCTTCACTTCAGTTAAATAGATTAAAGTACATGTTTGAAACTGAGAAAATAATCACACCTACTAGAAGTATAAATAAAGATCAAAGGTCATTATTATCATGTACCATTCAAGTTTTAATTTTCTTCTAAGTTAAAGCTATTACACAATTCAGTGATTTTTAGGAAATGAAAGTTCAATTTAGTGACAAAGTACATGTGAACATTGTATCAAAGTAGATTCC